AGTTCAAGATGGCAGAATTGACATGTGGGGCAACGTGTGCTAAATACCTACTCTTTGTCTTCAATTTCATATTTTTCGTAAGTACATACAATAACGTTCATATGAATCGGTTACTGTTATGATGTAGTATACATGTATTATTCGTTACAGTGCCTTCTCTCTGCGTCATCTTCTCGAATTTCCATATCCGGCCGCTTTATGCCCGTGTATTTTCTATATCCTACTTCGTTTTGCCCCATTAGCACTATCGTTCACTCCTTCTCATTGTCAATCTTCCTTCGAAAAGTGACACATAGTTCCCGCTCGTTTACATATCGATATATTGATACATTGTGATTTGCTATGTATTGTTGGTATTTTTGCCGCATTTAGTATTTTTCAGTTGTCACAACTCAATAATGTTTCGATTAGATTAGTTAATTCAGATCAGATTACTTTAGTTTAAAATTAATTATATTTTATTATATATATTAATTAGATCTCGCGTATAGCTAACGGCTTCGTTCTCGTTGCCGCAGGTATGTGGCGCTGTAGTACTGGGCATTGGAATATGGTTGCTCGCCGACAAGTCGTCTTTCATAGAGCTGACGAAGGTGAGCAGCGATGTCACTAGCGTTACGGATAGCATCAACACGCCTGGAGTGCTGGAAGCCGCAGCCATCACTCTTATAGTCGCCGGGGTTGTCACCTTCATCGTCGCCTTTCTCGGCTGCTTCGGAGCCATCAAGGAGTGGAGGCCTCTACTCATCACAGTAAGATCGTGATAGATGCAGCGAATATCTGTGTGTGCACGGGTAAAGTGCGCGAGTGGGTTTGCTGTTTTATTCGATTATTATTTTGCAATATAAATTATTAATTTTACACATTTTATTTATTTATTTAGACATTTATTTATTTATTTATTTATTTATTTATTTATTTATTTATTTATTCATTTATTTTGTTTATTTATTTATTTATTTATTTATGTATAGTGTGTGTGTGCGTGCGCGCGCGTGTGTGTAGGTGTGTGTGTGTGTGTGTGTGTGTGTGTGTGTGTGCGTGTCTGTGTGTTGGTGCGTGCGTGTGTGTATGTGTGTGTGTGTATGTGTGTGTG